TGATGCTTATTATGTGTGTCATGATGAAACCAGGCCTCATCTACAAATCAGCAAACCCCAGGGCTCTCAAAAACAAAAAAAACTTGCTGCCTGTTTACTAGATTCACAACCCGAAGGCCTGGATTATTAAAATCCTAGCTTCAAATTGGTGACAGCAGTTTGAAGCATGGACTTCAAGGGTCATTATGGATAATAATGCTGAGGGCCACCCTTTGGATTTGTATTGCGAGGGACTCCAGATTGAGTTCCTCCCAGCCAGCACCAACTCTCTCATCCAACCTATGGGCCAAAGCGTGTTCTGTGCCTTCAAGACTATTTAAACCAGAAATTATTTTCAACACCTTGTGGAGACAATGGACATTGACAAAAATTTGACATTTATGAGTTACTGGCAGAACTTCACAATTGCAACTTGCATGTCAGTCATCCTAGTTGCTCTTAAGGAGACAAAAAAGTAAACCCTCAATGCATGCTGGAGGAAACTATGACCAGAGTGTGTCCATGGCTCCAATAGCTTCTCACCTGAAGATATTCGACACAAGACTGTCAACAAGGCAACAGAAGAGAACAAGGCAAGATTGGCAAAAAATACATGGTGGTGAAGGTTTTGACAACATTAATCCAGATGAGGACAACAACCTAAACAATGCTCATGACCGTTGAGATTTTGTTGGATTTAACTAGGTATTCCAGTGAAGAGGAGGATGAAGTAGCAGATCCAGAGCAGGAGCAGGGCCTGACATTGGAACATCTGTTGCAGATTATTAGGACAGTGAAGGGGTTGCACAGGATTATTGAAACATGGGATCCTTATATGGTTCTGTCTCTCAAAGGTAATAATGGCATTGATGCTGCCGTTCAGACATATAAAGGTCAAGGTTTCTTTATTGTCATTTGCATCTCATGTGATACATGTGGTGGAACGAAATTGTGTGCACAGGGTCCCAATTACATACAACAAAATTATAAATTGTAAAGGAAAAACAGTAATAAGATCTAAGATGTAAACTAAGAAATATGCTAAACTAAGAATATGCTAAGCACTAATAGTACAAAAACAATATGCAGAACAACAGCAGCATGAACATGAGTCTGTAAAACCTTCCTCATCACCATGAAAAAACAAAAACAGCAACTTGCCATCACAATGTTCCTCCAATCTATCAGTACGAAACCCCGTCAGAGGGAAACCTGTCAGAACATACAGGTCCTTCTCAAAAAATTAGCATATTGTGATAAAGGTCATTATTTTCCATAATGTACTGATAAAAATGAAACTTTCATATATTTCAGATTCATTGCACACCAACTGAAATATTTCAGGTGTTTAATTGTTTTAATACTGATGATTATGGCATACAGCTCATGAAAACCCAAAATGCCTGTCCCAAAAAATTAGCATATTTCATCCCACCAATGAAAGACAAGTGTTTTTAATACAAAAAACGCCAACCTTCAAATAATCATGTTCAGTTATGCACTCAATACTTGGTCGGGAATCCTTTTGCATGAATGACTGCTTCAATGCGGCGTGGCATGGAGGCAATCAGCCTGTGGCACTGCTGAGGTGTTATGGAGGCCCAGGATGCTTCGATAGCGGCCTTAAGCTCATCCAGAGTGTTGGGTCTTGCGTCTCTCAACTTTCTCTTCACAATATCCCACAGGTTCTCTATGGGGTTCAGGTCAGGAGAGTCGGCAGGCCAATTGAGCACAGTAATACCATGGTCAGTAAACTATTTACCAGTGGTTTTGGCACTGTGAGCAGGTGCCAGGTCGTGCTGAAAAATTAAATCTTCATCTCCATAAAGCTTTTCAGCAGATGGAAGCATGAAGTGCTCCAAAATCTCCTGATAGCTAGCTGCATTGACCCTGCCCTTGATAAAACACAGTGGACCAACACCAGCAGATGACATGACACCCCAGTGACTGTGGAAACTTGACACTGGACCTCAAGCAATGTGAATTCTGTGTCTCCTCTCTTCCTCCAGACTCTGGGACCTTGATTTCCAAAGGAAATGCAAAATTTACTGTAATCAGAGAACATAACTTTGGACCACTCAGCAGCAGTCCCAGGTGAGATGCTTCTGACGCAGTCTCTTGTTTAAAAGTGGCTTGATCTGGAGAATGCGGCACCTGTAGCCCATTTCCTGCACACGCCTGTGCACGGTGGCTCTGGATGTTTCTACTCCAGACTCAGTCCACTGCTTCCGCAGGTCCCCCAATGTCTGGAATCGGCCCTTCTCCACAATCCTCCTCAGGGTCCGGTCACCTCTTCTCGTTGTGCAGCGTTTTCTGCCACACTTTTCCCTTCCCCCAGACTTCCCACTGAGGTGCCTTGATACAGCACTCTGGGAACAGCCTATTCGTTCAGCAATTTCCTTCTGTGTCTTACCCTCTTGCTTGAGGGTGTCAATGATGGCCTTCTGGACAGCAATCAGGTCGGCAGTCTTACCCATGATTGCGGTTTTGTAAGGTTTCCACTGCCTGCAGCCTTCTCCATGATGGCCGCCAATTGACACCAGCTGACGGCTATCCGCCTGATGAGGAGCAACACTACTTAAGGCTGCAGTCCAGTGTGAACCA